CAGCCCCCAGAGAGCGTGAGGGCCGAGCCCAAGCCAGGCGAGCGTCAGGCTTGGGCGCTGATGCTCCCAGCTCCGGGCCCAGCTGGACCACACTGGGGGCTCCTTCCCCACCACGTGAGCTCGGGTGCCTGGGCTCCCGAGGGGTGGCCGGGCTGTGTCCCCACAGGAGACAGAAAGGGTGGCATGCGGTGGGCTGGCCTCTCCCTCCACTGCTGAGAGACCTTGAGCCGGTCTCTCAGCCTCCCCTTCTCCCTCGTCTGCAAAATGGGTGCACTACTGGTCCCCACCTCACAGGGCCTTGAGACTCAGGGCAGAGAAAGCTCTCAGAGCCCTCTGACGCCTGGCCATACTATGTGAGCTTAGCTGTTACTTTGGGGTGCATCCTCTCCCCTGAGCGAAGCCAGGTGGGGTTCCCACCACCCCCAGCCACCACTTCAGCCCCTGGTGAGGATGGGTGCACAGGAACGGGGCAGCTCCCGTGGGTCCCTCCGGCCCCCGCAAGCACCCAGGGGTTAACGGCCCTCCCTGCGCCGCTCCCCGCTTGTTAACTCTGCCTTATTTCACAGCTGACTGCTCCCGTGGAAATTGGCATGAGGCTGAGCGCCAGGCAGCTGGAAAAGTACCGGGCCGTCCTGGACGTGCTGCTGAGTGGGGCGCTGCTGCCCGCGCAGCCTGGTACAGGTAGGGCAGACGGTGGGTCTCTGTGGCTCCGCCCACCCGGCGTTCCTATTCTAGTGGACATCCGAGCAGGCCATGATTTGTTTTTCCACTTTGCACTTGACAACAGCTCTGTTTCCCCTGGGCGACAATCTCCTAGGGGAATGCAGGTGCAGAGGGTCCTGGAGCCCCATCCTGCAGCTCAGCCCATCTCCAGACACCCCGAGGCAGAGGGCCAGGACAAAGCAACGGGCTGAGCCCCCCCTGCACCCGCCCCACGGCCCTGGCCAGCGGGGGGACTTCGGTTCTGCTTTTCCCCACCCATTCTGCAGACCTAAGGCCTGCACCCCACTTGGCCTGGCCCAGCTCAAGGTCTGCCCGAGAGTTACTTGTGCAAAGCTAGATCTTGTCTGCCAAACAGCCGCTAATCACTCCTCCTAGTCCCCGGGAGGGAGGTGGGAGAGGCCGAGGAGGAGAAACGGGCCAAATGACTTGCCTGGGGCCAGGAGAGCTCCGCACAGCCTCCCACCCAGGCCTGGGCGCAGCTCCTCCTCCCGGCTTGGGCTCAGGAGGTGGCTTCCTGAGCAGACCTGCTGACACCGCTGAGCTGCAAACCTGTGCTTTCCAGAGCCCAGGGACAGTGACAGCGGGAGCAGCGGGCGCCCACCCTCCTGGGCACAGCCGGAGTCCACGCTTGGCCTTGGGAGCAAAGCTCTCCGCAGAGCAGATTCCTCTCCAGCAAATAAAGCATGAGATACACGAGCGCCTCTCTTATTTAATGTTCTAATTTCCAAAGGGCAGTCTCACGTCTTGAGGGCAGGTGGAGCAGGATTCAGAGGGGACTGGCCACGGAAGGCAAGTACCTTAGCACCATGGAAGTGCTGAGTTGTGCCGGGGCTTGGGCCGAGCCCCCAAGCTGGGCGGGATGGGAAGACGGCCCTGCCTGCTACCGTGGGCCAAGCTGAAGCCAAGAGGTGGCCTCTGCTTCCCCACACAGAAACAGATGGCGGAGCCAGGCCTAAATCCTGGCACATTCTGTTTCCTGACTAGATCGAGGTCTAACGGGCCACAGGACCTTGCCCTTGCAAGGCAGGTGGCAGAACCACTGAGCTAAATCCCTGGCCTGGGCCACAGGCTTTTAAGGTCACTGAGTAACTTCCAACTGACCCTTCAACCTCAATGAGCCTTTGCAGGAGCAGGCAGTAATATCTGCCTGGAGATCTGGGCGCAAGGCAGCAGCAGGGAGCAAACGACTGTTATTACTATCACCTTGTGACTACAGGCTCCAGCATCCGCAGCAAAACTGCACAGCCAACCCACTTATTTCTGCCCCCTAAACAAAACTGGACACGAAATCTCATTCTGATTTAATTTTATATTAATGAGTGTTCATTTATTTATAAACCGGGCAGGCCTGCGGGAGACAAGGGAGGAGCCTCAGGGATCTACCCAGCATGCCACAAGAGAAGCCACATCCAAGACCCCCACACTGGCTCACCCCACATTCCCCAAACACTCTGGGAGCAGAAAACCAAGAGGCTCCTCGCTCTTCCCATACAAAAGAAAAAAAAAAAAAAAAAAAACACAGATTCTTGTGGTCTTCCCTCCTCTGCTCCAATCTGTCCCTATAGTGAGACCATCTTCCCCCACCATCAGGCGCAGAGGTAGGCACCCCCCTTACACCCTCCAGGAATCTTCTCCTGAGATTCTGTCTCACACACACACCCTGCAGCATTGAAACAGTCCCCATTCCTTGGCAATTTCTTTTCAAGCAACCTGCATCTGTTTCTTTTAAAAATTATTATGATAATTATTATTATCATCATTTTATTTGGAGATAGGATCTTGCTAAGTTGCCGGGCTGGGTTCAAACTTGCCACCCTCCTGTCTCAGCCTCCCCGAATGCACTCCCCGCATGGTCTACATTTTTAAATGGGAATTGCTTCCATGAGCACAAGGCCCTCGAAGATTCCAGTGCTCTGTTCCACAGAAAAGCGTGCTCAGCTGTGGGCACGGAGCCCGCTGGTCCCCAGCCCTCCCGGGGGGCCTCTCATGTGCTTCCCTGAAATGGGACCCAGCTTCCACCCACACTTGTATGCGGCCGGCCCCTCTTCTGAAGTGTAGGCTCCTTTCCTCGTTTTCCTTCTGCTGCCACGGTTCGATTTCTTGCAATCAGCTCAAATAACGTCTTTTTTCTTTCTTTTTTTTTTCCCCCCCAAATGAGCTCCTCCAGTTAGTTTCCAGGATAGCAGCCTGGAACACTTACAGGAGCCTGCGCAGCCCTGGAAGAAATGAAAACGGCGGAGCAGGCTGGGGAGGATCCCGAGAGCCAAGCCAGGAGAGCGGAGAGCAGTGCGCCTCGGTCAAGGCCCGACCCGGAAGCAGCAGGGTCGGCTCGAATGCCCTAGCCCGGACAGAACCGGACGGGGCCGCCCACCGCGCCAGGCAGTTTACCCGGCGGCTGATCAGCGCGGGCTGGTTGCAGGGATCCTTACCCTTGTCTGGACCACAGGGGATTACGGGCAACCCGAACCTCGCTCCACAAGATGCAGATGATGAGGTATTTTCTCGGTAACCACGCCGGTGTGATTTTGTAATTACCAAGCTATGCGGATTTGCCACGAAATTGAATAGTTAAAAGCAAAGAGTAATTGCCTGATATCTGTACTCTGTAATTTAGTATAATCTAATCATGGACAAAGCCCAGAAGAAAACATTCTGAAAGCATTACATTTTTCTTCATATACAATTTGTTATTAACACCAAGTAATCCGTTCCATGCCTCAAAAGGAACCCTAACCCACAGATACCAAAGTGTGAGCATGGCCGAGAGGGTGAGCATTTGTTTAATTTTTAACAGATTGTGAAAAGCAGGTGGCATAGCCGCCCGTTAGACCCCGCTCTGACATTTCCTAAGGACTCTGTGACCCCCTTTGTTAAGCTGCCCCCAGACCCGGGGAGAGGTGAGAGGGGTGACCTCCTTTTACACGAGGCACCAAAATGAGCACCACCACCGCACGGTTCAAAGGAAGCCCAGAAGCCAGGCACGTGGCGCACACCAGCATTCTGGGAGGCTGACGCAGGATCGTTGCAAGTTTGAGCACAGACTGGGCAACCTAGCAAAACTTTGTTGCAAACATTTAAAAACAACAACAAAAAGATTTTAAAGGGGTAGGGATGTAGCCCAGTGTGAAGGCCCTGGATTCAATCCCCAATATCACTTAAAAATTTAAAAAGGAAAAGGAAAGAAAGAAAGCAATCCCAGCAGAGCAGAGGCCCTCTGAGAGGTGGACCAAGAACAAGTCCCCAGGTCTCTGGTCCCTGAGCACCTGGAGGAGCTGATGAATGTGTGCTGGGCTTTCTGCAGAAAGTCATGGCCGAGAGGGTGAGCATTTGTTTAATTTTTAACAGATTGTGAAAAGCAGGTGGCATAGCCACCCGTTAGAGCCCGCTCTGACATTTCCTAAGGACTCTGTGACCCCCTTTGTTAAGATGCCCCCAGACCCGGGGAGAGGTGAGAGGGGTGACCTCCTTTTACACGAGGCACCAAAATGAGCACCACCACCGCACGGTTCAAAGGAAGCAGAAGCCAGTCCTAGCAAAACTTTGTTGCAAACATTTAAAAACAACAACAAAAAGATTTTAAAGGGGTAGGGATGTAGCCCAGTGTGAAGGCCCTGGATTCAATCCCCAATATCACTTAAAAATTTAAAAAGGAAAAGGAAAGAAAGAAAGCAATCCCAGCAGAGCAGAGGCCCTCTGAGAGGTGGACCAAGAACAAGTCCCCAGGTCTCTGGTCCCTGAGCACCTGGAGGAGCTGATGAATGTGTGCCGGGCTTTCTGCAGAAAGAGAAGGTGAATGGAACCCACTAAAAGATTTATAGCCATTATTATTATAAGGCTCTGCTGAGGCAGAGAGCGGCCAGCAGGAAGGAGGCCTGGAGAACCAGAGGGGCCCAAGCTGCCCCTGCACCTTCAGGTGCGTGGATGTGGTTACTAAGTGGATGGAGACCCCACAGCCTGTGTTTCTTCTTTGCCTTTAATAAATCAGGAAGCCTGACTGCAGCCTGAGCTGCTTTCCTTTAAAAATATCCAACGCAGAGTGATCAGAAAGGAGGGCTCCCGCCCAACTTTGCAATCCCCCCATCCCCGCCCTGCAAATGGCCACACTGAAGACAGGGCCCACTCTGAGGTCCAGGGAGGGCCCGGGGCGGCTCCAGACAAGGGTGGCTAGGGAGGCCTTGAGGCCAAGCAGCAAAACCAGAAAAAGAGCCTCTGGGACAAAGTAGGTGGCTAGACAGGAGAGGAGGCGACCTACATCTGGAGAAGAAGCCAGGTTTGGTGGCACGTGCTTTGGGAGGCAGATTCAGAAGGGTCCCAAGTCCCAGCCCAGCCTGGGCAACTTAGTGACTTAGCGAGACCCTGTCTCGAAATTTAAAAATAATAATAAGGGCTGGAAATGTAGCTCAGGTGAAGGCTCTGGGTTCGATCCCAGTAGTGGGGGGCGGGGGATCCAGAGAAGAGGTAGGATGAGCTTCGAGCTCAGGAGAGACAAGGAAGGCCAGGACCCGGGAAGGACAGCAGTGTCCCCGGGCACAAGGCAGGCGCCAGGACTTCATGCCGTGTACCACCTCAAGGGGGGCTCCGGTTCAGTGCTCGTGTGAGAGCACCCCAGGTCCATCATGGTGAAGTAGCCCGTAACTCTGGAGATGGAACTCTGAAATGCTGCACCATCCACTTTGTTTAAGCATCCGTGTCAGGCCTCCTTAGAATGCACAGGGCTGGTATTGATGCCGAAAGGCTCATTCTTTCTATATCGAACGGCACAGCTGCAAGGAGTTGCACAAATGTTACTAACTCATTTGTCATGCAAACAGTGCTTCAGAAAGAAATAAAATACTATTATGTGGTATGTGTGTTAGGCAATCACTATATCAAATCCGTGGCACTCCGAACAAACACAGGCAGGGGAAAGGAAAACAACACTTGGTGAGAGAAATCACACCACAAGGGAGCTGTGAAGTCAGGGACGGGAGGCTGAGGCTGTAATTTTCTCAGCAATGTGGCCAGTGCTGAATACCCTAGGGTGGAGCAAGCGGCAGGCAGGCAACGCCCAACAGAGGAGGAGGGTCAGGGCCCTCAAGCGGGGGACAGACTTGCAGGGTGGCAGAGGGGCTGTCGGTAAAGCTACAGGGATACGGCGGGAGGATGGAGAAATGACAGGAGGTGGAAATGCTGGGGGCAGTGAGAGTTTCAGAGCTGCTGGAGGTTGTGGGATGGGAAGAGGGACGGGAGATGTGCTAGGAGCTCTATTTCCTGGGCTCCCACCTCCGTCTCTTCTGTGAGGGCCTCCCGCTGACAGCCACCCTGTAACCAAAACGCCTGCCCTTCAAGGCTCGCGCAGCACTGGCTGTGAGGA